CATATGAAGATGTTGAATGAGCTGGACTTTGCAGCTCGTGGCAATTCTGCTTGAAGTTTAAATGGAATAAAGAAAGCTTTTTGTTTCCAATGTGTGCCTTTTTCCAGTCTTTTTGGTGTCTTAAATAATTACGATTTGGTATTTGGTATTAGTAATTATTCATTGATTTGGTGGTTCTTAAGTTTGATTGAACACTTCGAAGTGCAGCGCCATGATTCAGTCCATGTTTATCCTGACTGCAAACGGGTGCGTGTACAGACCCAGTATTTCATCGCTTCTTGTGGAGATTACATTTGTATTCAATCTGCTACAGCGAGGTGATCATTGAAAAGCACTGTCGAGGCCTCACGAGTCGCAACGTGTGTGACTTCTTCATGGAGGAGGTCAACAAGTACCGCGAGCGTGAAGACGTTCCACCCATAATAACCACAAGTAAATACTTTCTCGTCAGCGTTTTTCGCGATGATCTATTTGTGCTTGCTGTTGTCACCAACGAGGTTAGAAAGTGGTCGTCGTTAAGTGTTCATTCTTTTATAACTTGATACCTGCAGATCTCTCCTCTCTTTGTGATCGAATTCTTGCACCGAGTGCTTGCAGTCTTCCGAGATTACTTCGGCAATTTCGACGAGAACTCGATGAAGGACAACTTTTCGACAGTATACCAGCTACTGGAGGAGATGCTTGACAACGGTTATCCGCTTACCACGGAGCCTAACGCTCTTAAGGCCATGGTGGCTCCTCCCTCAACAGCGAATCGTATTGCTGCTATGGTTTCAGGTAAATCACGAGTCAGCAATACGCTGCCCGACGGCGCCATTTCCAACATCCCGTGGCGAAAGAGTGGCGTTCGCTACACGCAAAATGAAATATACTTTGATATTGTGGAAGAAATTGACGCCATCATTGATGTGTCCGGTCGCATGATTTCGTGCGAGGTTAACGGAGTCATTCAAAGCAACAGCCGTCTCTCGGGCGTCCCCGATCTGACCATGGTGTTCACTGATCCTTCAGTGATCGACGACTGCTCATTTCATCCATGTGTGCGGTATTCGAGGTATGAGCGCGAACGAGTGATTTCGTTTGTCCCACCTGACGGACAATTTGAGCTCATGCAGTACCGCGTGCAGGTTCAAGAGCTCGTGCCGCCTGTTTATTGTCAACCACAAATAACATATAAAGACAAGGGCGGTACACTTGATCTGGTCATAGGCACTCGTGGTATGCCTACGCTCAATTCCAATGCTAAGAAGAGCTTACAGGTCGAAAATGTCACTGTGGAGGTGTCGTTTCCAAAGAGCGTGCGCACGGTAGACGTGAACACAGAGTATGGTTCGTGCCTTTTTGATGAGACTACTAAGACGGTCAAGTGGAATGTAGGCAAATTGGGTAAAAAAGTGTTGAATCCGTCGCTGCGAGGCAATATTATTCTTCATCCGAGTGCTTTAGTACCAGATGAAAAACCTATTGTGGTCTTGGGGTTCAAAGTGCCTATGTCAACTGTCTCGGGCCTGAATGTGGAAACGCTGCTGATCACCAATGAAAAGTACAAGCCGTACAAAGGTGTGCGAACGATGACGAAGGCTGGACGTTTTCAGATACGGACGTAGTGCGGCTTACCTAGCTCGATCCTTAGTGTGTATCTTTGTATTGTTAACACCTAGATATTGCAGTCATACAGTCTGATTTGTTACAGCAAATGAATATGTGCCGAAGAAGCTAGGCTCAGTCGATGAGTCGATGGTATAGATACTGCACCATCCGTTTTGACAGGAGGTTTTTTAGCAAACTTTTCGCTGGATGTCTAATATGTTCGGGCGTTACGCGCCACTTCTTTACTAAGTATGCATCACCGTCTCAGCGATAGCAGTATGAAAATACAATGCTTCGGAAGACGTCAAGCTCAGACACATCAAAGCAGCAGGAATGTAACGAAGTTTCAGTGATATTGGAAGAAGCCAAAACGGAGACGAAGATGTCGAAATATGACCTGACTTTGGGCTTGAAGAATGGTGTTAATTTCGATGCCATGCCAATCGAGGCAAGCGAACTCAGTATTTCCAATTCAACAAGCCAATTCTTTTGCCGGTTCGATCCCATGACGAAAAATGGCAAACTATTGATGCTGCTGTTCGACTGCGACGGCAAGTCGACACTTCAGGAAATGAGTCGACTTGATGTACTGCGTATGACCCAAGAAGCCGCTAAAATCACGAGTGAGCCTATTGCTAAAGCATCTTCATCAAGGAGTCCGAACTGTCGACGACCGTGTTTGCACGCTCAGGCAGGGCTAGATAGCGGTCCATCGATATGTGACGTTCAAGTAAGATAATATGAGAGAATGTTTGTGATGGAGCTAACATTATTCATTGGGCCAGCCTGTGCACACGAGAGACATTCGTAGGATGGAGAATGTATTCTCCACATCAAATGAGCCTTCGATTATCCTTCGAAAACAGGCGGTATTCTTCAGCGCAGGTGCGCTTTACAATCATAAATATTGTCTTCTGCTAGCTGATGCGCTGATTCGTACGCTTGTGCACTCGATTAGATCCTCTCCGCGCTATCATTCTTAAGGATACCTGTTTGGTCTACGTTCCTGACGGAGCAGACAGTCTAATCTCTATGCTTCAGCAGGACTTTCGAGCTCATGCGCAAGACAGTGCGGACGCTCCGTTTGAGTTCAGGTATCCAATTGATGGACATTATGAGTAAGTTTGTATGTTAACGTGTGTTTGATTAGAGCGTTAGAGGCATTACTAGCCACTTTAGCACGATACTTCCGAGCTCAATTCGATCAATTGTCTCCTACAATTGTATCTGATCTGGAGAATCTTGTCGTCGGCAATCTCGACTCACGTGAGCTCGAGCGTCTACGCGAATTTAAAAACATAATGAACGAATTCGAGGCACAGGTTGATGGCGTGCGCCGTGTGCTGATGGAATTGCTGGACAACGAAGAAGATCTTCGACTTCTGTACCTCACTAAATTATATGACGAACCCGACCTTTTGTTTGACTTGTGGAGCTTCGACTCCGAAGAAGCCGAAGTGCTGATCGAAAACTATCTTCAAGACATTTTTTCCACCAGTACAACAGCTGATCTGCTGCAGCGCCGCATTGCAAACACAGAAAGTCTCGTGACTTTAAGACTTGACTCGAAACGAAATTATCTGCTACGAGTGCAGCTTATTTTTTCGCTTGTAATAATCAATCTTTCTGTTGGAACACTGATCTGCGGGGTGTTTGGCATGAATCTCACCTCGGGCTTGGCAGATGCTTCGGGATGGTTCCTGGGTGTAGTTATCTTCACTGCTCTCCTTTTCTTCACAACAACACACGCTGGTATCGTTTTTTTTAAGCAGAAAGGGGTGATGCTCAAGTAAATATGCACAAACGGATTATTCCTCGAAATATAATTATGTTTGACATGAGAACGAATGTGTTACTCTTGGAAGCTAAATGATGTACGAAGAACTGGTTCTGAAAGCACACTAAGTGGGTCTTTTACTGATTGAAATGAGTTATTTTTTACAAGTCCTTTTAATTCATGAAAGGCGATGTCCCAACACCATTCCTTATCCTTCCTAAGGAGATTAGCCAATGGCCGTGCCAATTTCGCATAGTTGCGCTTTACTTGTGCAAGTAGTTGGTGAGGCCGAGCCACTTGCGCAAGTCCTTTTGTTTCTCTGGAACCAGCCAGTCCTTGATGGCCTTGACCTTAGCGGGATCCGCTCGGAAGGCCGCGCTTCCCAATGAAGCACCCTAAAAGGGAATTTCCTTCGCACTGAGGATGCACTTATTGGCATTGGCGTACAGTTTGTTCGTGCGCAAGCACTCGAGCACCGCTTTCAAATGGACATATGGTTTTCCACATCTGTCTGTTGTGCCCCGCACGACTGTGGACTATGATGTCGTCGCCCGATTGGGCCTGAACCACTTCGTCACAAGACATTCGAATTA